TACTCAGAAGGAATAATGGAATATACGGGAAATCAAGGTAAAAATGCCCAGCAGACAGTTGAAAATACAGATATGAACTTTGGAGGAGAGATCTAGAGCATGTTATTATTACAGGTGACAGATGAATTCGTGAAAGACTCCATGATGAGTGTAGGTATTGTCCAGAATCCATCTCTTCCTCTCCTTACCTACTACTACTACCAGCTCCAGTCCAGATTACTGCAAAAGTCTTAACTGTATCCACTCTGCCCACACCAAACATAAGCACCCTCCACCTAGTACCACAATAATCTTTAAAAAATGTTAAGTCGGAAAAAAAAAAAAAGTTAAGTCGGGCCCTCCCAGGTGGTTCAACTTAAAAAGCACAGCACTATGAAACTACAGCATGAGATTGATCCCACCCAGGGAGGTGACACACATGGCGCAGCAGACCTCTCCTGTCTCTCCCACTGCTCCCTCAGCCATGTATGTTGTGCTTCCCACTATGTCTCCGGTGAATTCACTCACTCCCACACCTCTGGCCTCTACCCCAGTTACTGTATGCATAAATTAATAAATCTTTAAAAAAAAAAAGTTAAGTCATATCATGTTTCTGCTTAAAAGCTCACTACTGTGTCCCACTGCACTTGATCTGGTCCTTGCTCATCTACCTTTCTACCAGCTAGCTGCCTGCCATGCTGTTCTGGCCACAGTGACCTCCTCTCTGATGTCTCTAATTGGAATGTTCTTTCCTAAGACTTTCAGTTGACTGTTGCTCTCCACTTACCAAATTAAGTGTCTCATCTTAAACTGCTACTCTAAGTCATTTAGTATCACATTATCTGTGGTACTCTGGCCACAGTTAAGTACATAAATATCTGTTACATGAATTAATAAGGGGAAGCTGAAAGAAAACAGATCAAAAACCAAAACTCTGAAAAGAAAATCAGGTGAGTAGAAGCTAGAGAAAGAGCCTTAATGAGGTAGTGAAGAAGAACGATGAGTAAGAATTTGGCAATTCCATCTTTGGTGTCCTTCAAGGAGACAACTTTAGAAAAGAAAGAGAGGTAGGAAGCAGATTATAGTGGATTAAATGAGTAAATGGGAGCCCTCCCTGGTGGTGCAGCGGGTTAAAGCACAGCACTAAGAAGCTAGGGTCTCTTCAGCATGAGTTCAATCCCTGCCCACCCCAGAGGTGACCCACATGGCCCAGCAGACCTCTCCTGACCTGCCCACCCACTGCTCCCCTCAGCAGTATACTTTGTCCATCTGCCTGTTCTGCTCCCCACTCTGTCTCTGGTGAATCCTCTCACCACCCCTGCACCTCTGGTCTGTATGCATAAATAAATATATCTTTAAAAATAAATAAATAAATGAATAAATGGGAATTTCAAGTGGAAAGGACAAAGGGAAGAAAAATGATGGAAAACTATTCTATTGTGAGAAAAGACAGAGAACAGAATATTTGCTCATGCTTTCTAACTTAAGGGAAGAACCCCAGGAGAATGGAGATAGTGAAGAAAAAATGAGGATACTAGGACAAGGTTTGGAGGCCACAGAAAGAAATGGGTGCCTAAAGTCTCATTGGTTATGTTTTCTCAAACAATCCTACACAGTTACAGTACAAAGTTTTACATTCAGAAATATCTACTTCCTAGAAACAACTTACTTGCATATTCTTATGTACATTCAATTTACAAAGTCATTATTAAAATATCCTTTGTGGTACATATACACAATGGAATATTACTCAGCAATCAAAAAAGATAAACTCATGCCTTTTGCAGCAACATGAATGGAGATGGAAGGGTTCATGCTTAGTGAAATAAGCCAGAAAGAAAAGGGAAAAGACCAGATGGTTTCACTCATAGCAGGAATGTAAAGGACCAGGGGAGGAAATAATAATGAACAACTATATTATATACCAGAGACAGTTTACAGGGGTGGAGAGGGGACTGGGGTAAAAAATGGGGGGAGGGGAGTGGATGGAGTGCACTGGACTGTGGTGATGGCACATGGGTGAATTGGCGGTGGGAAGTCCACGGGGATTACAACTGAGATGGAAAAAGGCACAAAATTATGTAAAAATAAGCTATTATATTATTTAAGGAAAAAAAAGACATCTTTTTTAAACTCTTGTAAAGTATACAGTGGCATGTTTGGGGCTATAGGATCATAAAATGTGCTGTATACTTGCATGTGTTGCAGAGAAAAAAAAAGACAAAAAAACAGGAGCAGAAAGGACAGTATGTACAAATGATAAGCAAGTAAGTGGCACAAAAGCAACAATGGATAAGATCTAAGTGGAATATGCAAGTTCGCTTTGTAATGTTTATATAGCTTTTCTCTAAAATCCTAAATTAATGTACAAAGAAAAGCGATAGAGAAATTTCACATACCTAAACAAAGAAGCAGAGGCAATTTCCATGAATGACTGGCTTACAACTGTCAAACTGCTTGTGAACTTTCACAACCACTTAGGAGTAAGCAGCAAAAATGTAAATGACAACAATGGATAAAAGGGGCAGTGCATAAACTCTTATAGCATTTGACTAAAAGAAAGTGGTCAAGTAAGACTTTTTCATGACAGAATGAATGTTTATATAAAGAGGGTAGATAATTCTCTGTAATTTAGCATTTCTAATAAAAGTTAATCTTATAGTCGAAAACTATCTGATTTCTAAAGAGCACATACAGTAATAAAAAACACACCTAATGAAGTCACTCCTTGAAAATGGAAATAGAAAGAAATATGAAGTACTGTTTGTGATCCATCTCTAACAGACTAAAGCAAGTATTGGTTAAGACTGCTGTTCTGGGATATTCTAAGAAAAGAGAAAAAAAAACCTTCAGAGAAAATGTATTAGCAAATCTGATTCCTTCTCAGCTGTACAAAGAAATGGCTTGGTGATGAATCAGCTGCCTAACAGTACTGCAACACATTTGGAAAAAATTCAATGAATAATATTACCTAAGGAATATCAATTAGGTCAAATACATATAGAATTGTCAAAAATAACAATGACTAAGGGACACTTCCTCCTATCTCTAAGGGCAAACTTGTGCGCTCTCCTCTGAACTGAAGGAGCCACGAAAAACGTAGGAACCACTGCTCTCTTAATGATACTCATCTTCCATTCCTATGACCCCATTCCGCCACCAAAGATTTACTAGGAGATTGTAAGTGAAAAAGGTCCTTCTTCCTAGTAGGGAGGTGGAAGAGTACTTTCACTCATGAAATCCATGGGTCAAGGTTTAATGTGATAAGACATCAATTTAACATGACTCTGTTGATCAGGTTCCAATAGCACAAAGAATGACTGACAAGCCAGATTCAAGTTCTAATATACTCAGACTTTATTGAAATGCCAAGCCCAATTTCTCTCCAGGAAGTCAGGATTTAAATTATTTATTCTCTTTCAGTTAAACAAATGGAATCCTACTAATCTAACTTCCAGGGGAGTTCAAGGCAACTACTGGTGTGTAAAAGAAAATTTTTATGGATGCACTTTCATTATTTAAATTGGAATGAGTACCCACTATTCTTAGTCTTTCCATACAACATAAGTAGTTAGTAAGGGCAACTAATTAAGTGAAGTCATTTTGCTTTTTAAGGTTAACACATACCAGGTTAGACTGCTGAGTAAAGTACTATCAAGTTTAATATAAACCACTCAACAAACACATGATGAGGACCTAAGAGGTGTACTGGACTCTGAGTCTAGCCCCCTCCCTGCCTCCCAGAGCTTAGCCTAGTTGGCAAGACAGGACCTTCAAGTAGTCTGTAAACAGTCAGTAAAAGTACAGAGTGCAGGTAATACCATTCATAGATGTTCTAACACAGGAAGCAATGCTCATTGCTATAGACTAGGTGGTTAGAACCTAGCTTTTAAGACGAAGAGGAGTCCCACCTGAAGGACAGCAGGGTGGGGAGAAGGCCCTGTAAGCAGGCTTTCCGTTTCAGAAAGCTTCTCACAGACATTCTTCTATCTTTGAAGTCACCTAAGAATATTGAGGATAAGTATCGTAGACATTTCCAGTTGACAGGTGAAAGAAAGTGAGGAGAAGACCTGACTAGATACAATAGACAATGAAACCTAAAGTATTTGGTCTTCTAGGTCAGCAGCCAGACTCTCCAGTTTGGGTGATAATAAGGAAAATAATTAAACTCGAGCATGGGATATGTGGGGGACATAGCATGTAAAGCCGAAAGGGGAAGAAGATGAAATGCTAAAGAATAGTCAGGCAGAGTACTGCAATAGCCTACATGAGAGGTGACAAACATGAATTAAATACTAAGGGAAAAACTGGTAACATCGTTTTAAAATTTTAATTACCAACAAAACAACAAAAAACCTTGTTTCCCTTTATGAATCAGTTTCAGAGAGGAAAACCTCTAACCAACAAATTTCCTCAATGTCTACCGAGAATTCAAAAAACATAATTGGTTAACGTCCTCTCTAATAGCATGAGATTTTTAAACTGTCTTATAAAGTAAGGGTGGAGTTATCCAGAGTATTACTGAAATCACAACTTCACAAATTTCAGGGCTGCCCAAACAAGGAATCCTCTTATGCACGCTTTTTGCCTATTCTCAGAGCTGCCTGGATTTCCCATTCAGAAGTTTAAGCTGGACAACTGGAGGTCGACTATTTCCATATTTAAGCCGGCAAAGGGCTGGGGCCCAATATGCAGTGTGAGACTAGTCACAGGCAACACTCAAGTCGGTCATCTCCAAAATAAAGTTCTCAAGACTTCGAAATCAAGTCTGGAAGAAAACCTCCCAGCTACCGTTCGCCAGACTCGCCAGACTCCCCAGCCTTCATGTAAAGTCCTTACAGTCATGTTTTCCCAAAGCAGTGCCACAGTGTCACTTCCCAAAGTAATGCCACAGTGCCATTTCCCGCAGATGACAACCGCTCGGCTCCTGCCATGTTAGACTTCCTCGAGTCAGACCCGAGGGGTTCCCGGCGTCGGGGCACCATCTCCGGGAAAAGGGCTGCTCCCCGCGCCCTACTCACCGCGACCGGGCGACCGTGTTCGGGGCCGTCGGCGGCGTCCAGGCGCGGGGCCGGAGCGGGCG